ATGTACTGTATTAGGCAAATCAACTGCAAACGACCTCTTTAAAGTGTTCAAGAGCAAAGATGTCAGCTTGAGGACCAAGGTGTGCCTGACCCAAGACATGGTATTTTCAATAGCCTCATGAGTATATGAAAGTTGGACAATGAATAAGGAAGACTGCAGAAGAATTGGTGTGTTTGAGTTATGATGTTACAGGAGAATATTAAAAGTGCCACAGACCACCAAGAGAACAAATAAATTTGTGCTGGAAGAAGTACAACCAGAATGCTCTTTGGAAGCCAGGATGGCCAGACTTCATCTCTCATAGTTTGGACATATTATCAGGAGGGACCAGTGTCTGGAGAAGGACATCATGTGTGGTAAAGTGGAAGGTCAGTGAAAAAGAGGAAGGACCTCAACAAGATGGATTGACTGAGTGGCATAAACAATAGGTTCAAACATAACAATAGTTGTTGAGGATGAGGCAGGATCAGACAGTGTATTGTTCTGCTATATGTAGTGTGGCTATAAGTAAGAACTCACTTTACAGTACCTAACAACAACACAGAGTGAAATGTGTGAAGAGATTTTGAAAGTCAAGCAATACACAAATGAAAACTCTCATAAACAGTAGTCTATATGAAGACTGCACACGGCAGGAGCTCTGGTGGTGGTGTGGATTAGGTGTTGGGCTACTGACCTCAAATTTGGTGGTTCAAATCTATCAGCTGCTCCTCAGGAGAAAGAAGTTGTCTGCTCTTATTAAGATTTAGTTTCAGAAATCCTATATAGAGCCACTGTTAGATGGAATTGACTTGATAGAAGTGGATATTGCACATGGTAAAAGGAATTTTAATAAAAAGGCTTGATCCAACCTCATTTTCTTCATCTACAGCTGATTTTCTTCAGAGCTGGAGGCCCCACTCTTGACTTAGCCTTTAAGGTTCAGTGCTGTGATGTTCCCTATCTATGACCTTAGTAAAGTAGGAGTTATTTAAGGAGTCCTTTGTTATAGAATTATTGCTGGAAACAGCAAAGTAGAATTTTGAAAGACAAATGACTTGGTTGCAAATAACTTTTTAAAACAACATAAAAGTCCTCACCAGATGGAATACACAGAAATCAAATTGACGATCTCAGTGGAAAGAGATGGTGGAAAAAATCCATATCACCAGTCAAAACAAGATGAGGGTCAGACTGTGGAACAGACCATCAATTGCTTATATGCAAGCTCAGGCTGAAGCTGAAGAAAAAGAAAATAAGTCCATGAGAGCCAAAATATGACCTTGAGGATATCCCACCTGAATTTAGAGATCATCTGAAGAACAGATTTGATGCATTAGACACTAAAGACGGAAGAACAGAAGAGTTGTGGGATGACATCAAGAATAT